GGGGGGGGGGGGGGGGGGGTGTTGCCCTGGAAACCTGTAAACACCGGGCTGGTCGGCGGGCCTGGAGCGCCCCCTGCCGGAGGCTCGGTGACCAGCGGCCGCCTCTCTCCGCCCCGCTGCCTCCGTTGTTCCTCCGAACCTCCACCCGTCATGGCCATGCACACGAAGGCCACACCGCCGGTGATCCCGGACACCCGCCGGGAGCTGTCGGAGCTCGTGAAGAGGAAACAGGAGCTGGCTGTGAGCACCGACGGCTTTGATTTCATCTTTATCACGCGATAAAACCATTTTAAGGCTAACCACTGAATGCTAACACAGCTAGCTCTGAGGCTAGCTCGGGTACGAAGCTGAGGAGCTAGTTTTTATTTTTCACTGGTTAATTTACATGTTCAAGACCACACGTCAACATTTATATTTAACAATTTAAACTAAAACAAATGCAGTGCAGGATGTTTCTGGATATGTTTGATCCTTCTGTCTGAAACACTTTAAATATATGCTAAGTAGTTAGCATGAGAACGTATTAGCCGCCATCGGCTTGTCTAAGTTCTCGCGATATTTTCCCTACAGGCCACAGCTGACATCTCGCGATATTTTCCCTACAGGCCACAGCTGACATCTCGCGATATTTTATAAATATGAACTGAAGCTGATCATGTTAACGTTTTTACTGAACAGAATGTTATGATATGTAAAATAATTATCAGCTGTATTTATTTACACTAAATGATAAAACTGGAGTTCAATTAAAAATAAATTAAACATTTTATTTGAAAATGACTTTAAATTAAATGAATGTAACATAGTTGTGTGAAGTTGTGTTCGTTCGCTGTTGGATCAGTTTCTCTTCATCCCAGGAGACTCTGGTGAACCTGGAGAGGCAGATTTATGCTTTTGAAGGCAGCTACCTGGAGGACACTCAGATGTACGGGAACATCATCAGAGGATGGGACCGGTACCTCACCAACCAGAAGTAAGACAGGCAGTGGTTGTTGTTGTTGTTGTTGTTGTTGTTGTGTAGGCTGGGTCCGATGATGTGAAACTTGTTTTCTCAGAAACTCCAACAGTAAAACGGACAGAAGGAACAGGAAGTTTAAAGAAGCTGAGCGTTTGTTCAGTAAATCCTCTGTCACGTCCGTCGCAGTGAGTTCTGTTTGTTTTGCTCCTGGTTGTTGGTTTGAAACCTGCGGCTGACGCTGGCTTCTGATTGGCAGGCAGTGTGCGCGCTGGGCGGGGTCCCGGACCACATGAACGAGAAGCGTGAGTTTGTTTTTACAGCTTCAGGACGAGCGCTGTGAGACGAGCTCCTGGCTCTGACTCTGTCCCGGTTCTCCTCAGGCGAGGCCGGCAGCGGCACCGAGAGCGACGCCTCTCCGGACCTTCAGAACCAGGAGAACGAGCCGGGCCAGGAGGACACAGAAGACGTGGACTCGGCGCTGCAGGATCTGAAGCCTCAGAAGGCTGCGTCCTCGTCGTCCTCGGGCAGCCACCACGCCAGCCACAAGAAGAGGAAGAACAAGAACAGACACAGGTACCACCGGGTCAAGACCCAACAGAACCGTTTCACCTGTAAACCTGTAGCTGCAACAGGAGGTGGGCTCAGCTGGGCCCGGCTGACTCCCTGCTGTTACACAAGCTGTTTGTAGGTTCTGGTTCTGGTTCTGGTCCACTAACAGCTGCTGCTCTCTTCCTTCCATAACGCCGCTCCCTCAGCCCTTCTGCCATGTTTGATTATGACTTTGAGTAAGTCTGCGTCTCCTTCCTGCCTGCTGCTCGGGGTTTCTGCATGTCAGAGCAGCATGTGGCTCTGCTGGGTCCGGTTCAGCTCACAGCTCGTGGTTCTGGTGTCAGTCCGGTGGCTGCAGCAGAACCGTGTCTCAGGCTGTTTGTGTTTGTTGCAGGTTCGACATGAAGGTGAACAAGAAGCCCCGAGCTGTAAGTAGAGCTGCGCTGTGTGCAGCTGTGACACACAAACACACAAACACACACCTTCACCTGCCTTCATGTGTCCCTGCAGGACTACTCCACCTGAGCCCATCTGGACCTGCCTTCTGTCCTGGTTCTGCTGGACCCGTTACAACTCTTCCTGTAAAGTCTTTAAATGTCTGTATTTATTGTTTATGTTCAAACTCCGCCCCTTCTTTTACGACCGTTTGTTTTACAGAAAATCAATAAAAACACCAAAAAAACAAACATGTTGTTGTTGAGGCGACCCGGTGTGGTTCTGACTGGACTCTTTAAAGCTGTTTTTGTTGTTCACCTGTTTCAGCAGCAGGTGGAGCCAGAGCTGCAGCTGGGTCAGAACCAAGTCCAGGTTCTGGAGCTAAAATAAACCAGCTGGAACCACAGAAATTACATTTCCAGCAAAAATACTGTTGTGAATGTTTCCTGTAGAAAGTGTTAATGTGAGCTCTCTGAAAACACGAAACAAAAACACAAAAAGCAGCTAAAAGCTAAAACAGCTGAAAACATCTGTAAGAAGCACAAATTAGCAGAAAAAGCAGATCTACAGCTAAAATAGTAAACAAAGATAAAAGTAGCATAAAATAAGCTAAAGGTAGCAGACACTATCTGAAAATAGCAACCAGATAGAGGGTTTAAAAATGTAAAACTAGCACAACAATGCATATAAAAGTACAAAAAAGTGATAATTTGCAGTAAATTAGCTAAAACAGCTGAAATCTTCAACAAAACAGCTAAAAAAGTAGCYGGAAATTTAATTAACACAGGGGAACATGAAGAAGTACAAGTTTGCTGAATTTAGCTGAAAAAAGTTTTAATAGCTACAAAAATGTGTATTTAGCTTAGAAAAGCTAACTAGCTAATAGCAGCTAAATATTAGCTAAAACAGCAGCAAATAGCTGAATATGGTAGAAAGTATCTGTAAGAAGCATAAATAGCAGAAAAAAGCACAAGAAGGTAGAAAAAGGCAGAATTTTAGCAGAAAAAGCTAAAAGTAGCTAAAATTAGCAAAGGAAAGTGAAAAAGAGCAGAAGCAGAATAAAATGTGTAAAGTGCTGTAAAGATTTAGAAACATTTTAAAAGTTTTAAGGATGTTGAAAACATTTTTAATGAAACAAAGTGGAATAGTTTAAACAGCTGAAATAATAAAACACAGCAGGCCTCACATGAATGAGCCGAATGTTTTCATGTATGAAGTGATGAAAAAGCACAAACAGGAAGGAAAACTGAATGATTGTGAAAGGTCACTATTATTCCTGACAGTCTGGAAGGTTCTGCCGGGCCTCCTGGACCTCCTGTTTACAAAGTGAAGATTAAAGCTCAGGCTTTAAGTTTCAGCTCCTCTTCATCACTCTTCATCACTGAACCCTGAGGTGGCTCAGGTTCAGACCCACCTCCTCTGGTATCAGACTGGACCCGTCTGTGGAGCTGGGCCACATGTAGAACCCGGGGCTGAGAGTAATGAGCTGTAAACACTCACTTCCTGTCACTTCAGGAAGTGCTACAGAACCAGTCTGACGGCGGCGAAGCTTTAAAGTGTCTGTGACGTGTTCATCCTTCAAACATTAAAAGTCAAAGAAAACATTTATATTTAAGAAAGTTGTAATAAAACACGATTTAACCCATTTAGTCTCATAACTGTCAGATTGAATTTGTCTCAGCAAAGTGAAACAGGAAGTGACATCACAGGGGAACTTCTTTTTGTGTCACTTCAGTAGAAAACAAAACCAAATATTAATTTATTTCTTCATCATCAGTGACTTTTTTTAAGTGAAGAGAAAATAGAGACAGAGAAACAGAGAGAAGTAATTAGAAAGATAGAAAGATTGAAATAGTGATTAGAAGTATATTAAATATACACCAACAAAACACAGGACCACACACCCAACATCTGTCCRCTCACCTGAAAAATAAATGGATAAATACATGGAGGGCATATATAAAAATATACACATACCCATACATTTATAAAGATATACATACATACATGCCTACATTCATAAATATTGTCAGTATATACACAYAGACATATATACACACTCAGTGACCTGTCAGAACCCCCGGATCAGAACACCTGTYTGTGAGCAGTTGTGAACATGTGTGTATATACAAGATTTCTCCAATGGAATATTTAATAGTGACTGTGGAGGACCGAGACCCAACCCCCAAGACGCGAGGCAGACATAGGGAAGACCAGAGTCCAAGGGCCCGAGAGGGATCCCGAGCGCAGAGCCCCAAGGGACACCCGCACGGGAAGATCCGCCCACCCACCCCCCAGATCAGACCATAGGAGAGAACTGGGAGAGTCCCCCCAGCGACCACACACACAGCCCCCGGGGCCAGCAGCGACAAACTCATGGGCCCACCAGCACCCACCATACCAAAGCAGATCCAGGAAAGGGCACAGAGGTCCGGGCCCCAACAGGCAGTCACCAGGCCAGGCCGGCACACACCCCAGCGCCCAGCCCCAGACCCCGGGAACCCCCAGCACGCCGGCGGCCAGCCGCACACCCCACCGGGGGGCCGAGCAGCAGCGGGCCCCCAGATAAACCAGCAGGAGGGGCAGCCCAGACCGCAGCCTGACAAATACCCAAACATACACAATCGCACCATCCCACCCTCATCCTCACCCCCACTCAATCAAAGACATACAAGGACGCCACATTCCACTCATACCCCCCGATACACACTCTATACCCCCCAGGTCCAGAACATGTACCCACCCCCTATTGGAGGCGGCACACACCCGAACCCAGGAGGTAGACCCAATCATTCTGAGGTGGAGAGGAGCAGATAGCCAAGGCCGCACCAGGACGCCCGGCCAGCCCCCCGCCGCAGAGAAGCCACACCCATGACCACCCCACCACACCGCCAGCGACCAAGTGCACCCCCCCAGCCGTCCACCCCCCGGAATCCAGCAGCCACCTCGGCCAGCGGGCCACCCACAGGAACCAAGAGCCACACCTCAGGAGACCAAGCAGCACCAGGGAGGATGGAGAGCCAGCCCCGCCCCCCGTCCAAGCCCCGAGCCCACCCACAGCCCAGGACCGCACCTGGTGGTCCGCCCTTCTTCAGGACCCCCTCACCAAATGGCAGTCAGGGAACTCTTCAATAAAAACTCGTCTTTGTTTAATGAAAGAATCTTATTTAAACTCTTCTTCATCTCTGATAGTGACTCTAAATAAGTTAAAGAAACATCAGATTCTCTAATTACTGTAGCATCGCTCTGTTACACGCAGACATTCCCCTATGACATCACTTCCTGTTTCTTCACATGAAAATATCTCAACAACTGTTCATCTCAGCAGTGTGAAATTTGTTTTGCAACATGTTTTCAAYGTTCTCTTTCCAAAAACATATTCATATTTATTACTAAAATTTGATGTCACCAGCCCTTTAATGCAGCTGCTGAGTGAACAGAGTCAACATCTACAGACCTGCTTCAGACCCAGGAGGTCCTCTGGGACCACCAGAGATAAAGAGCTAAAAATATGAGCTGATCTTCCTGGAAACAGATTTCCTTATCTGCCCTCCCTGAAGACAAACATTTCCTGAGTCCTGCTGAGCTCTGCTGCTTCAAGAAACTTTGAGCAGTTTGGACTGAAAACACTGATGTTTATATGAAGCTTCATGAAACACTGAATATTTACTGAGCAGCTTCATCCAGTCCTTCATCCTCCTCCTGCTCCTCCTCCTGGGAACAAACCTCCTACAACTCAGAGGAGGTCAGGACACCACGAGGTCATGAGAAAACTTAAAAAGTCTCCATCAGATGAACTTTGACCTTCCAGCTGGAGCTGAGAACAGAAACAGAAGCCACAGTTCTGTCAGATTATAATCTTTAATCCTAAACGTTGATGAAGAAACATTATTCTGTCAGATTAAAGAAAAATAAAATGTTTATTCTTTGTGTAGAAATTATATTTTATTTTTTCTTGAAGTGATTTTTATCTGTGAGGACATCCTGGAAGCAGTGAGCCTGTCCTTCCTCAGTCCTCCTCCTCCTCTTCCTCAGTGTTGCAGTCTTTGCASAGGATCTGGTCCCGGTCGGGGTAGAACCCAGAACCCAGCAGAGACACGGAGCAGCGGGAGCACTTGAAGCAGGGCTGGTGCCACTGGCGCTCCTCGAAGGACACGTACTTCCCGTCTCCGAACCCTGCGGGACAAAAACACCACACGGGTTTGGACCGGCCCAGAACACCTGCACCGCTTCTGGTTCTACAGACTGCAGAGGCCCAGAACAGCTGAACAGGATCTGTCTGGTTCTGCAGAGCAGAGGTTAAATAGACATCCTGACAGACCACACCCACCTGTGATGTGGGCGTGGCTACAGACGGCAGATGTTAGAGACCATAGATATATAAAGTTAGATAAGTCATCCCTGCTGTTGACCAATGGAGACCGGCGTCCTCACACGGCGGCCATCTTGGGACAGGCAGCTGACCCACTCTGAACATGAATGTGTGATGTGTGTGTTTACTGTTTAAATAACCACAACCTGATCAATTTTCATCAGATTTTCAAACAGATTTTTTTTTGTTGTAAAGGTGAGACATGTTGTTAAAAAAATGACATAATTAAAATGGACATTCATATAATAATTATGTTATTTTGATAAGTAAATTCATATCAATTTATACACAGAATACATTTAGATTACTTTTACAGGTATTTACAAATAAAAATATAAAGAAAAATTATACACAAGTCAAAAATAATACAAAATAGTACTAGCAGTGGTAATTAATATGTTTTATATGTTTTATATTTAGATTTTTTTTACCTTAGACATGCAAATATGAGCCTTCTATACTGTTTTAAAACTGTTCTGTTTGGGTTAAATGTGACAGATGTTGTTATAATACAGCATACATAAACTGGACGTTCACATAAAGAAATACACAATAAGATATATTTACATGTGTTTAGAAATGCATGTTTATATACTGAAAAATTAACTGACATATTTTTGAATGCTGATAAATAGTATTGTAATAATATTTCATAATAAACAGTAATAGTAGTTAATATGAATACTCTTATAATAAACTAAGCAGTTTGTAAATCCATACATATTTCAGTGATTTACACACTTTAATGTAAATCACTCAGTGCATTTACCACAGCTACAGCTGGTGCTGCTGACTGTCCCAAGATGGCCGCCGTGTGAGGACACCGGAGACTCCGCTATGACTTATCTAGCCTTTATATCTATCTATGGTAGAGACATCCTGACAGACCACACCCACCTGTGATGGGGGCGTGGCATCCGGAACATTTCTTGGCGTGCAGGTTGCTGAAACAGGTGATGCAGAACGGACTCTCCTCCTGAGAGGTGAACGGCTGATTGGCCAGAGGAGCTCTGCAGCCGCTGCACAGGAAGCAGTCTTTGTGCCACACCTGGTCCCTGTAGGTGACCCCGCCTTTAGTCAGGGCCTGCAGGACACAGGGACCGGGTCAGACAGAACCTGACAGGTTCTGGTTCTGTTCTGAGCAGCCTCCTCACCTTGTTGCAGCGGCTGCAGCGCGGGGCCACCTGCCTCTCGTAGCACGGCACGCAGTAAAACCGGCTGCTGTCRGGCACGAAGCCCTCGGACCCGATGGGTTTCTGGCAGCCATGACACAGGAAGCAGGTCTGGTGCCAGGCGGCGCCGCCGTACTCCAACATCCTGGAGCCTGTCGGAGGAGGAGACGGGTCTGGTTACAGCTGGACCAGAACTACAAACATCTTCATCACAGCAGGCCCGATCGGACCGCAGCAGAACTTTACTGCTCGTCTGCAGCTCAGAACCAGTCTGGAAGTCTGGGTTTGGACCTGAGTCATCAGGAACCAGGAAGGACTCTGTACCTGGGGTCATGGCTCCGTCACACGCTGCACACCTGGACCACACCTGGCTGCTGCAGAAGCAGCTGCTGCAGAGCAGAGCCTGGTCCTGACAGGTGAAGGCTTCACCTGCCAGAGAGCGCTCACACCTGACACACCTGAAGCACAGCTCGTGGTAGAACCTGTCCTCGTAGGACAGCTCCTGCAGGACGGAGGGGACAGGAGGGTCAGGACCAGGACAGACAGGAGGGTCAGGACCAGGACAGACAGGAGGGTCAGGACCAGGACAGACGGGACAGGAGGGTCAGGACCAGGACAGAGGGGACAGGAGGGTCAGGACCAGGACAGAG